CCAAAGCCCCTGTGTGCTGAATCTCGAGGTATGTTCTTTCTGCCTCTCTTCCGATGTTATGGTCTTCACTGAGAATCTGGTTTTTGTACATTGTCTGTTCGAGGTGAACAGCGTTCCCCAATGTGAAGTTATTGTACCTGTGTGTTGTCTTGCCGTTCCTTTTCCCCCCACCTGCTTGCCATCTGCTTCCATATGGAGGGAACACATCCGGTTTGCATGTTGGTTCGGCTTCTGACAGGGTCCATATCTACGTTGGGGGTTCTTTGAGGTCGTCAAAGATCTAGCCTGCGTATGCTGGATCGTTGATGATCCAGATGCCCTTCAATGCTTTGGCTTCCACGAGCATAGAAGGTTGCAGTCTTTTCCCGTCCCCTTTTCTGTTGTTCAGGGGGTAGAGGGGATCATTCCCCATGTGTCCTTTGATTCTACATCTGAAGCACATGGGATTTGCTTTCGTAGAGATGCACACAATTTGGATTTGGTGGCCCATTTTGAAGAACCATTTGTCTGGGAGCTCAGGTGGGTTTCTTGCTTTGAGCTCGACGCATGCGATCCTCGAATTGATACTTGGAGTTAGAAAACCGGGGGTAGAGGAAACCCCCTCGACCAAAGGGTATTGGGGGTATGTCACTTTCAGTCTTTCCTCTACCATGTCGTGCGCGCCGTCTGACAGATTGTCGAATTGAATCCAAAAGTGTTTGATCATCAGTGATTGCCTGTGCCTTGCTGACCCCTGCAGCGCAGATCTGTTGGGTCTCCATTTAGAGATTGACACCACCGATCCCTGGCAGTAGAGGGCTTGAGTTGACAACAGAAATGCGGCATAGTCTGGGTCTGCACACAAGCGGTTAACGGGTAGCTGAAAATTCAGGAATGAAAATTCTGAAGTGAGAGTTTTGGGCAGTCTGAAAATCCCGAATGGTCCTTAGGCAGGCCGCATACTGAAGTGGTGAAGGGTGTCCTGAAGTGGTGAAGGGTGTCTTGAAGTGGTGATGAAAAATACGATTGTTGTTAACGTTCTCTCGGTCTGCACAGAGCAGAACAACTGCAATCCTTCCTCTCTGTTGGTACGCCACTTTGGGTTCGAAATTTCTCAAGCTTTCAATGTTCTGTAGGGCTTCCCGGACTCTTTTCCTTTTTCCGTGGGCGGGAGATGCTTCAGTTTTGCAGGAAGGAACAAACATAAAATTTGTGGGTTTCATAAAATTCGTCTAGTACTGGGAGATGTTCTTTTGGGTATTCCTTGACTTCGACTTCCGCCTCCTCTTCTTTGCCAATTTTCACGATTTCTCTGGCGAGCACCGGTTTGATTCTTGTCTCTCTGATCATCTTATTGAGAACCTCCTGGCTCGGGTTCTGTTCGCTTTGAAAGCGAGATGTCCTTGAGCCTGCGCTCGAATCAGAGGTTGAGGTTGAGCCTGAGGCTGAGCTTGAGGCGGGGCCAGAGCCTGAGCCAGAAGCTGAGCTTGAGTAGTGCCTGTACCCATGGGGCCGGTTGGCACCGAGGATGGAACATGGGAGATCGGCATGGTGGGGTATGATTGGTTTGCGGGCTGGTGGAGGGACTAGGATTGGAGGAGTGGTTTTGTAAAAGAGATCGAGGTTAACTTAGTGGTTGTGCTTCACCTCCTGGGACACGTGGACAATAGATCAGAAAAAGCGGTGGCGAAATGGCAAAGTTTCTCCACCTCTACTGCAGGGCGTGCAATGTAGTTTGAAACGTGGCATTCAATTTGGGAGAGCTTCGCTTCCCTGTCTGGGGATCGTAAAAAAAATTCCAGTATCGCCAAAAAATGAGCAGAGCTTCACCTCCCCACCTGGGGATCGTGAGATAAGAACCGGTGGGGTATCAAATGTCGAAAAGGACAGAGATTCACTTTTCCTTTAGGAGATCATAAGTCTGGAGTGTAATGAGAACGTGACATTCAATTTGGGAGAGCTTTGCTTTGCAAAACCCGCAGTGCTTTTCCTCTAGGAGAT